TTGATCATACTCAGAACAGCGAACAGTTAACTAACTTGTAACCGATTAGGTCAAAAAATATTTAAATGATGAACCGTACTCAATTCTCCCTTATGCTAAGAATTATGAAGCTGTAGTGAAAAGTTGAAAAGGTTGCTCAACGCTAAATATATTACTTAATTTAATATGAAGGTTACTCAATATCATTTACATATTTACTACTTATTACTATTATTTACTATTATTATTCGATACTTATTTACCTATTTACTACCTATTACTCAGTATATAGGTTATTCAACACTAACTATATTATTAACAGTATATTAAGGTTGTAATAAATTTAATACTTTATAAACGTCTCTGCGAATAAACTGTTGCTAGCTTGGACTTATAAACTACCATGTGCTGCTGGAAATATTTCATCGGAGAAACAGGGTCGCTCAAAGGACAACGAAATATCTGTCAAGCTGGTAAAGATCGATGGTCAGCATGAGCCACGCGGTAGCGAAGCACTTGGGAAGGAAACAAATCTTCGCCTTCAGCCAGGTCAACAATATTAAAAGGTCAGCGGGCGTGTGCAGCAAACGTTACATGAAGGTCATGCCACCCGGTGGTCAGGTTATGCCGGCATTAAGGAGGTATAAATCATCTAGTTCTGCGATAACGTCAGCCAGAGCGAAGAATTCGAACTATGCCAGAATGGAATGAGCCTTTTCGCGTCTGTTGCTGTAGAACTACTTATCCGGCAACACGAACCGAAAGTTAGCCTTTCGGCGCAAAGCAGCTGCTGACGGCCGGGGCGACCTTCGAAATCTACTTGAATTCTTGCCTTGAAGAAGGCGCGTTAAACCCGGACCGAACCGCCGGCATAGTTCAAGCTTCAGATTGACCACCTTTTGCATTGTGTATAAAAAAACTGTTTTGTGCAATTTCTAAAAATTTATTGGTGATGAAAGGTTCAACAAGGGTGGTTCAATGTGCGCAGATAGAACGATCGGCTGTAAGATGGCATTAATAAGAATACCTTGACAGCTACTGTGCTAACCCCAAGTCAAAGGAGCAATGGAATTTGCGGTCTATGCGCGCAAAGCAAATTAAGAAGTGCAACGTGACTATGCTAATAAGTTGAACCAATCGGAAGTAAGCTTTTAACCAATTCGTGCCCGGTTTCCATAAATAAGAACGTCCTGAGCAGCAACAATTCAGCAAAATCTGAGCATCTTTTCGGTTGGTCGCATGTTGCGCATTCGTTTGCCCGCTTTCGGGTATAAGACAACAGTTAGAATGCTGAAGTTCAGCGGCGTGAATCAAACCGAAATACAGCAGTAAGTATTTTACGACCAAAGGGATGGCGACATTATGTACAAGTTTCGGGCAGCATTATTGCGTTTTCTCTATCTTTCGGCCTAGCTCACGAGTCCTCATAGCCAGTTCAAGGTCCCATGATAAAATTTTCATTGTGCCTTCTGGGAATTATTGAAAGCGATGTTCCTCGATTTTCCCATTTGGGATCATAGTCGAAGCGTCTTTCTTAAAATCAGGATTGCTTTTTGATGTAAGAAACCTGCTACACACTGCTGTTTCAGTTGACCGTTTCATATAAGAGGCCTTTATGATAAAACAAAGCACACATCATCAGCCTTCATTTTTACATGTGATCCTTTAATTAGTGGTTTAGTGTTCGTTGGGAAATCGATGCAAGTATAACCTGCTTTCCATAAGTCAAAAAAACCATCATGCAGAATGATATACGAAGGCAAAACAGGATTCGGACGTTGACTAAATATGATGGATCGTCTTCAACTGGAACAACAAGCAATTCAGACAACCAACAAATACCAATTGCCTTTCTACCTGGAGTTAATGGATTTTGAGAAGGCTATCGATTCGGTCTACATCCGTTCTGTAATGGATTCCTAATGGAATATTGGAATCGAGAAAAGATAGAAAAACCTGATTGCCATCATTTTTAAAAGTGCAACAGTTAGCGTGAATTTTCACGAAAGCAAAAGTAAGGTCAAAATCGGTAAGGATATTTGGCAGATAGACGCAGTATCACCAAAGTTATTTCCACCAGCTATTTAAGAGGTTTCCGGAATTGAACATGGGGGTCACTAATTATGTCCCTTTCGATTTGCTGATGGTATTCTGATCCTCTGAACGTCGTCAGAAAAATTAGAAAGAATAATCCAAGAGCCGAACGATACCAGCATCGAAATAGGACTGAAAATGACCTGAACAAAACTCAGATCATGTTTAGAATACATGATCCTGCAACCTGTTGAAGTAAGCAGACCTAAGCTTGAAGAGGTGTAAGATTACGGCTCTGTGGGACAGCTCATCTCTGCGACGGATAACCGATTATGTGTGAAATCAGTAAAAGAACAGGAACGACACGGAGCAATGTTGGAAGATTGAAAATGATACTATCCGGAAGAATGCGTTGTCCTTCGTGCAGGAAATTTTCAATCGCTGTGTGCTCTCAGGGCTAATCTACGGATATGAAATGTAAACTTCAAACTTGACAGCTATTCAGAAGCTGAAGCTACGTAACGCAGCAGGTCAAGACATGTGTCCGGAACAGGTGAAAAAAATGAATGAATGGGTAAGAACGTAAATGAGTGCGCGTGTTTCTGCAGAGCGAAGATGTTAAACTAGCAACAGAGCAGATAAACGGAGCGTAAGAAGACCTTCTAATCTATGGCAGAATGAGTTTAAGAAATCTGCAGGATCATGATCGACAGAAGTGGCAGAAAACAGAAGTCTACGGAGTAGCCGCCTTGTTTGCATGGCAGTCTGAGAATTCAATCAATTTCAACGATAATCAAGTTCATTTCATCTCAGCATTTCAGAACTTCAAGCAATCCTCCTTGAGGAACCTCATGGAGGATGGAAGAGAGGGATTCAGAGCTGGTCTAAATCCAGCAACTGCGGAGCAACGGTTTTGATCTCGTGAACCACGTAGACCGTAGTTACCGTGCGGAACTGGACCGTTTACGTGCTGGTGAATTGACTTCAAAGCTGAAATCGTCAAGCACTGAAAAAGAACCGGATACATGATAGTGCTGAAATTAGCAACTTACCTGGTTTAATGAAAACTATTGGTAAGCAAGCAATGAATATGCATTGTTTTGTTTAGTGAAATGATGCACCATCTGCAGAGTTTTGCGAAGATTACGTTTTATTAGCTTTCAAAAATTAAATAACTAGTGAACTTCGTTTGTAACCGAAAGTGACGTCAATCCTTTTTCGTTTCCTTCTCGTACATGAATGTTAACCCTAACAACGAACAACTAAGCCAAACAGCGTTAAGCAAGATGCCGGCCCAGTGGGATGAGTTCCACCATTTGAGGTAAGCATACTGCGAATAAAGTTGACTCAAAAGTACGCCGACGCAAATCTACAAACGTAAGAATGAACAAAGCCGCACTAACCATGAACATACGCGAGACAGTTTTACCATTACTCGACCGGACAACCAGATATTTCTGTCCTTTCGGTACCGAAAATAAGTTGAATGATTCGAGAAGACGCACGATGACAAAAGTAGACATCCAAACATCCTACCGACGAACATGTGGGATTCGTCAACCGGAAGCAGAATCTAATAACAAAGTCAATAGGCAGTCGTCTGCGTATGAACGGAAAGCGAGGTGTAAAGAATTACCTGCTTTCTGAGAAGCAGTTCAGGAAACGCCAACCAGCTGCTGCCAACTATGATCGCAGTGTAATGGTCTATAAACTGAAAAACTGTGACATAGCGTCCAACTTTCACAAAAACAGGTAAGAAAATAAAGAATTCGCAGGATAATATCAAACTGACTGTCAAGACGATCGCAAGAGCAAATACGGCTTGGGTGAATCTTGTGATCTGAAATGCGCATATGAGCCAATTCGCCGTGTTTATCCACTCAGTACCATGTCCTTCAGTACAGCATCTTGCTCGTTCCACAAAGCCATCATACACAGCAAGTAAGTCTACAATACGAAAATATTGAATAGCTGTCAATTTACTGGCATGCTTAATACACCGACAGACCGCGTTTAATCGACTGACACATCCGCTCTTCAAAAGAAGAAGAACCGGAACTGTTGGGTCTTTGCTATGAGGATGCGAAAAGGCAGAAGAGCAAAACCTACTTATTCATCGGCTGCGCGTTCATTACTGCAAAACTTAACTGCTACATATGCCCGAGTCGGTGAATTCCTCAAAGCTATGACAACTGGAGGGGGCAGTAGGCAATTGCAGAAGTATGTTGTTTAGTAGTTTGCTTGGAACTTGAGAAATGCAGAGTTCAAACTCTAAAAAAGGGCATAAATTTTCATTTATTGACTGCTAATTTTCTTAAACAAGGAATTTATCCGCTGTGCTTCCGCACAAACCTTTGTGGGTAATATTCGCTGGCAAATGAAGCGTTATAGTGTCCCTTCGTGCAAATACTGTTTTCTAAATTCTGGTTTGCAGCATCCGAATGGTGATCATCGCTGCATCAGGCGAAAAGTTGTTTAGGGCGTCACAAATTGAGCCTATTGTAAAGGTATGAAAGAGACTGACCTTTCAGAGGTTAAAAACCGTCGTTGTCCTGTCAAAATTCAATTATCGCTGAGAACGGAAACAATGCGCCCTTTTTGACCGTTGTTTTGCATAACGTCGGTTGTCTGCGGCAGATATTGAGGTAGAAGCCATGCTGAGCATGAATCATATTGCGAGTGATTTCTCAAGAGTCTCTGCTTCTGTGAAAATCTTGGCAGCACCACCAAATTGATAATGCAAATGATGTAACTGATGCCTTTCTCTTCAGACTCAGCAGATCTTCATCGCAGAACCCTCCTACAGCCGGTGGCGTTACATTCGTTTGGTAGAGCCGGTGCACTGGACCACATGTAAAGTTCTACTTGGAGTCTGGCGCACGGTTCGCCGCGTCAACCAATGAAGAGCGAAACTTTTGCCCATCAGTTGTGGCCATCCAGACGAGTCCGTATACTGTGCCTTCGAAATTGCTGAACACAAACTCCCCTCTTGTCATCACAAACTATTTATCTTGTCCTGAGCATCGTTATTTACGTTCGATTACCTCGCATTCTAAACTTGGCAGAATACTGAACGGTCGCGCAAGCCAGACGGATCCCTTCATCAACGTCTTTAAATCCTCTGATCGGCATGATCATTGCCTGACTTTGTAATCGACCTTATAGTTGGTTGCTACTCGTTTGTTTTATGTTGGAAAGACACTTGCAGAAAGAAAAATAGGTAGTTATTGCCTAACAAGTCATGAAATATAAATCTAATGAATGCAAACACTAACAAAGAAGAAATGAAAGCTAAGGTACTTTGAATCAGTTTTGCAACACTCAAAATCAACTAATTACATTAAATTTGACATGGGAGTGAGGAGGGGGGGGGGTCAGTGGCATAATGCTAGTGGGTTGATTTTGAATCTTGAAGGTACCAGATTAAAAATGGAAAACGATTCTTTTAACCGTCAATTCCCTTGAGAAAAGGATTTGCCTGACGTTGCTTCGGTACAACTAGGTGAAAAACGGATAAAAATTAATTGATTTTCGAAAAAAGGCAACATATATTGTGTTCATACCAGAACGAGCGAAAGATAAGGTATGCTAGCTGATACAAGCGCATGATGGAGCTGCAATCCGCCTTGATCCACTTGATGAATGACTGTTAAGTGTGATAATTAGCGCAGTGTAAATCTTCAAAGCTTTGCAAAAGAAAGTTGTCGAAATTTCAGTCAGTCAGAATGACTGTATGACTGACCGATGAACTTCGAATGCTATGGCTAACAGCTCATTCCCTTTGATCGCTTAGGTTGCCATCGCGATCCAGCTACCTACAATACAAACTACCACCAAACTCTGAGGATTCAGTTATTGTCGAGTAAGGGTTCTGTAGGAAAAGGGAAGCTTTCGTTTTTGTATGTATTTATTAACGGAAGGATACTAAAGACTACCGTAAGAAAGAAACCTACATCGGATGCTACGTCAACTTCCATTCTCCCACTGCAATATCCACAAAAGCGGAACTGGATCCGAAAATTATACATTTGTAACATGAAACTGTGCAGAAACGCCACTTCACTCCAACAGGAGAACAGCGAACTTATGACTGAACTGGAAAAAACCAGTATCCGAGAAATTTCATCTACGAACAGTTCATCGAAGTGGTCTGGGAGCTAGGCAGGATTAAAGCTCAGAAGAAACGACAACGCAGAGAAGACTTCTGAAGCCACCCCTTCTGGTCGCCCCGTACCACAAGAACCTTATTGAGGGAATCAGTCGTTGATGACCGGATGCGGGGTGACGACGGTCTGCAGCTCAGAAAACAAGCGTGGCTATCTCCTGTATGAGAAAGGCATGGTACCAAGGTAAGAAAATTGCGTGGTGATACATCGGATCGCCTGCTTGTGTGGAAAAATCTATATTGAAAAATACGCTACACAACTTGTCTCAGGAGAGCAAATAAGAAAGGATCTGCTGCTGCTCAATGCAGCGTACTAAAGAACCACTTCATCAACTGAGATACAAGCAACATCGTCCGCACGGAAGCCAACTACGGAAAAGAAAGGCTTTGGAAGCAGTCACGGTAAAGTGAACAAAATGCAAAATCAACAGATAAGAAGAAACGTACAAAAACAGCTCGCCATGGCCTGCCCTGATTCGTAATTAAATAGTGAATAAATATGTGCTATTTGAAATTACATCTGCCGTTGCAAACTCATCACTTTGCACTAAAACCCAAATCATTCAAGAAAATGATTTGATTTTTCAATGTATCAAGAAAAAGGCATGACCCCGGAACTTTGACAGAGTTCGTCATATAAAAAATGGGAGTATAATTACTCTAGGTTTGACTCTTCTCGCAGGTGACTTGACATATTGAGATGCATGATCTTTGCGATTCTTGCTCTGGATACAACAGTGGCTATGCACTCCATGAATCTGAACTGAGCTATTTAAATAACAAAATGAAAATATGTATGTAAATAAATCATTTTTCTGTTTAATCCACAAAAAGACAGCGCTAATATCCCCTTGAAATGTATTTTGAAGAACAACTACTTCATTTCAAAGCATTACGGGCACTTTGAAAAATATCGTGAACGAGTTTGGGCATGCAGTGACTCCGCTCCTCGCTTTGTTCCTAAAATGCTAGATTTCCTTAATTACTTCCTACTTCAACTGCTGGTAAAAACATTTTCCCTTTGATATTAGCATGGATCACTTACAACTTTTTACAGCGAAAAAGAGTGGCATATTCGGAGAGGCGAGTTATGCAAAGAGAGTGACGGAAGACTTATGGAATAACCTTCACCATACATAAAGACATATTTAAATATACGACGCTGGTTTGCATCTTGTGCTATCTTCTATTGTTTACAGAACCAAAATCAGCGTCCATGTCATCGAGAACAGGTAGTGATCAAGGCACCGGACCGAGTGACAAAATTAAGTATTACGGGCTGTGTTCACCGTTTTCATCAACACTTGTCATGAACTCTGCAAAGGTTGACAGGCAATACTTGAAAGTTATCCTTATGCATTT